TGCAGTTCATTACCCAGTAATGAAATTTCACTTGCTATTATAGAAACTTCTATGAACAAATTTGAGCCTGTGGGTCCCTGCTGTGGGATGCTATAAGACAGCCTTTGCTTTGATTCGTAAATATGTGCTTGGCAAAAGTGAAGTGCAAAGCTGTGACAATATATTTAGAGTACATGAAAGATACGGGACTCGCTGTTGTCCTGGAACTGAAGGATCATGCTTTAATAGTGAGATTAATTTAACCAACTGAAAATATCCTGAGAAATGAGACAGAATATCCATTCCTTAATATCTCAAAGTGGGTATATTTCAAAAGATATGATAGCTGGAATAGACATTATGGGCTCACTTCAGGAATAAATTGGTAAAACCCTGTGGTTGTCAATATGCAGGGGGTCAAACTGGATATGATAATGGTCCGTTTCAGTTCCTAAAAATTGGTGAATCTAACAATTCCAGTAGAAATGCTGGCTCTGACTGTCATTTTTACTGTGACATTTTCAAATCCATCTGGAAGTGTTAAGTGGCCTTAAAGCAGATGCAAAGTCTAATGGCTTTGTCTCCTTTCTTCGCTAGTATGACTGTAAAATCAGGTTGTGTGTAAATAGGAACTGAAAGCTTTAGTTCAAAGCTTGTCTGCAAGTTTTTTGGGGTAGGAGGAGAGTCAATCTCTGTCTTAGCTCCCTTCTCAGCTTCCACACTGAAAATAATATATTCTATGCTGACTGTAAAAGAAAGGTTACTCATACCTTTTTTCATTGTTTTTATTCAGAGACAATGTTTCTGACCCAGAGATTAAGCAAGATTTTAGACTTCTGGGGCCTTTTTTCACCTTGAATCTTTTCCTGTATTCTTTAAAATATTCATACTTGCGTTGAGAAGCCAAATTTTTCAAGATGATCCTACATGAATAGGATCAAGCAACTCAGGTCAAACTACGTACTTAATCACTGTATATTCTTCATGCAATTGGCAAGAAATTATATTTCATACAGCATTCTTTATAGTCTCAATGTTTAGTATTCCGAGAGAAGAAAAATGAGAGGCAAATTTCATGACCTTTTGTATCTCAGTGACCTGAAACTAGGAATGGGTTGCAATTTAAATACAGAATTCAATCCCACCTTTAAAGTATCTGTAGGGTCTTTTGAAATATGTCTGGGACATTCAGAATGGAAAGGATATAATGTAATATCCTTCCAGGGAGAAGATCTTTGAAAACTGCCATTTTCCCTTCACACATAAAGGCACTTACCGATTAAAATTCATGGATTTGAGTAAAAGAAACTCATAATATGTTCCAGAAGCAAACCTGTTTTCCCTTTTAATTGTTTTATTTGTTCCTACTGCAGGAGAGATGACTCATGTTTCAGTTTATGCCATAAAAAATGCCAATTTTCTCTGTTTTCCTGTGCAAAAGTGTTTCACTTCATTAAATTATCACCTATTAATGACACAGCTATGCAATTTCCACTCATTATTCTTTAATAGAATGAGTTCTGACAGTCAAACATCAGAATTTAACCTAAGCACATTTTTGAGTATCACTCAGCAAAAGAATTAGGCCTTAGCAAAGGTGTGCTTTTCCTCAGTCTAAGCATGTGCTCAGCCCCATGGAAATAAAAAAAGGAGAATTACACGTCACACAGAGAGTAAATTTTAGGAACAGATAGACTTGAAAGGAGGATCTGTTTCCCCCTGGAAAATATGCTAACAAAGAGTTTTCTTGAATATACTACTTGGGCCCTGCATGTTAGTGAATGCAGTGGGATATGCCTGGCTGTTCCTGGCAGAGGAAGTTTGCATGGTGCAGGAGCCCCACTGGATGCCTGCGCTTTCCATGCTTTGGCCTCTGATAATCATTTCTTGAGGAGCCCTGCATCTCCAGCAGCAGAATATGAAGACTCCTTACCATGCTAGTTTTCCAAATGAGGGGTAACATCTTAAAAACTGTCTTGAACTGCCTCATACTCAGAAGCATGTGTCTTGATTACCCTTCAAGGGGCGTAGGTTTTAAGCATAAGGGTTCAAGTTCATTATTCATGTCAAAATCCTGAGTAAGGGCAGTATTGTTCCATCCTCTACATTGGATAGAAAAGAGACTGGTCCGGACGACCTGCAAGACTGTAATGTAGCTGCAGTGACAAAGGCCTGCAGTGGGTGATCTCGAGTGATGCAGATGGTCCAGATATGTTCAGAAGTGGGTTTCAGCTCCTCATTTCAAGATACAACATGTATGTGACTGACAATCATTGAAACATAGCACTGCAGGAAAGTCTCTCCTATCCACCTAGTGCCAGGCAGATTCTTAGACACTGGTTTATACCAGCTGTGCTTACACAATTCAGCCCACAAGGAAATGAGAAAATGTTTCATGATTTTTCTGACTGGAGTGGAACTAAGGCAAACATCTGGATTGGTGCAGCAACAAAATGAACAAAGGGATACCTGCTGGCTGGGTTTTTAAGGTGGCAAGAAATAGATTTCATGGCAACAAACATCAAATACATGCTATGCTAGCTTGGAAACAGTATCTAAATTAGACTTCTATGTTTGGTGTCATGACTGACAGCTACAAATGTAAGCCAGTGGTGGATATGTGTGCCTTATAGAAGAAATCATTGTGTTGAAGGTCTTATAGTTCTTGCTATTTGTGTCACTATTATTCCACTGTCTTCATCAGATAGACAAAGGCACATTATCAGCTGTCGTAGTTTAAGCCCAGCCGGCAACCCAGAACCATGCAGCTGCTCACTCACTCCCACCCTTCCTCCCCCCACTCCTGGAGGGATGGGGAGGAGAATCAAAAGAATGTAACTCCCATGGGCTGAGATAACAGCCCAGTAACTAAGGTATAACACAAATCACTGCTGCTACCGCCAATAATAATAATGATAAGGGAAATAACAAGGCAAGAGAATGCAACCACTCACCACCCATCGACCGATACCCAGCCCGACCCAAGCAGCAATCTAGCCCTTCTGGGTAACTGCCCCCAGTTTATATACTGGCCATGACGTGCTGTGGTATGGAATATCTCTTTGGCTAGTTTGGGTCAGGTGTTCTGTCTCTGCTTCCTCCTGGCTTCCCCTCTTCCCTGTCAGAGCATGAGACTCAGAAAGTCCTTGGTCAGAATAAACATTACTGAGCAGCAACTAAAAACATCGGTATTATTAGCACTGTTCCCAGGCTGAAAGTCAAAAACATAGCACTGTAGCAGCTACTAAGGAGAGAAATGACTGCTACTGCTGAACCCAGGACACCAGCCAAGCCATAAGCAGAGGGTATTTATGCATAAGCTTTCAGTCAGTTTTGACCTCCTCAGTGCCAAGCTTGTACATTAGTACTTTTGGAAGAAGCACTGTCCTGGGTTCAGCAGTAGCAGTCATGTTTCTCCTCCTTGGTAGCTGGTGCAGTGCAGTGTTTTGACTTTCGGCTCGGGAACAGAGCTGATAGAGATGTTTTGGTTTGGCCAAGGACTTTGTGAGCCTCGTGCTCTGCCAGGGAGGAGGGGAAGCTGGGAGGAAGCAGAGACAGGACACCTGACCCAAACTGACCAAAGAGGTATTCCATACCACAGCACGTCATGCCCAGGATGTAACTGGGAGCTAGCCGGAAGGGCTGGGAGACTGCAGGGTTGGAGGAGGTATCGGTCGGAGCTTGGTCGGGCTGAGGGGGGGCAAGTTATGTCGGGTGGTGCTGAGGTGTTGTATTCTCTTCCCTTGTTATTTTCCCTTATCATTGTTTTAGCTGATAGTAGCGGTGGTGATTTGTTGCTGGACTGTTCTTGTCTCAACCCGTAGGAGTTGAACTCTCTCGATCCTCCTCCCCGTTCCTCCGGGAGCGGGGAAGGGGAGAGCCCCGGTGCGGGGGGGGGGGGGGAGACGGACACGGGACACGGACCTTGATTGTTGTCAGCTCGGCACCACTCACTGGGAGTGAGTGAACAAGTTACCTGACTGGGTTTAAACCACGACAGTTCTTTTTTGGCGCCCAACGTGGGGCACGAGGGGTTGAGATAAGAACAGATCTGACTGGATTGATAGTCACTCGTCACAATGCTGATTTATTGGCTCTCAAGGTTTTTCCTCTTGATCTCACAGTTTCAGTATACCATATCTTACGTCCATCCGGTATTGGCTGTATTAGTGTTTTTCAAGTGTGGGGCTTGGGCTAAGGTTTTTATCCCATTGTACTTTATGGTAATGACTTGTAATACAATAGAATCATTGATCATGAAACTGATCTGGTTTATGTTCCCAGTGTGGTCACCACCTTTATACTTTGGGAGGTATATGATGGAGGTGCTTAGCAATTACACATCTTTTTTCTCCTTCTCAGGTGCTCAACCTGTGAAGGAGACATCCTTTTACCCTCCTAGTCGTCCCCCCAGACCATTTACATTTGAGAGTTTTGAATTTTTTGAATGGCCTTTTAATGCTGTTGAGACTTGTTTGCTGATGGTGATGGGAATCACCATGCTAACACGCATACAGAGTGTGTTTTGCCCACTACTGATTTCAAGAGTTAAGCAGATTCAGGTTTGGGTCTTGTCTGGGGTCAAAAGACGATGTAGGAGGACCGAGAGATTTTCCCCAAGGCTGGAGAGTCATGAGTGGCAGGGTGTGTGGGACAGTATGGGCAAGTATCTAGTCCACTGGGCCCCTCCAGTGCTTTGGAAGCGTCGGAGATGGAAGGCAGCTGTATGGAGTCCCCAGCAAAAAGCTGCAGAAACTGCTGAAGGGGACAGTGAATTATTTTGAGCCTGGTGGGCCCATGGCACTTCAGGCCATCAGAGCAGAGATGCAACATAGAGATGGACTCATGATCGAGGGGTGGACTTAACAATGGACACTATTGCCCAGGTTATTCACGAGTGTGAACACTGCACACAGTCTCTCCTGCTCTGGAAGACTGTTACAAGAGATGGAGCCTGACATGGACCAGATGGAGGCAGCAGCTTTATAGGGACTGGTCCATGCACTAAGATAAGAGTGCACCGAGATAAGAGTGATGGTATATTGAAAATGTGGGATCTGAGCATGACGTGAATGGTATGGAATAAGGGGTGGATAATGTCCTGGGTTCAGCAGTAGCAGTCATGTTTCTCCTCCTTGGTAGCTGGTGCAGTGCAGTGTTTTGACTTTCGGCTCGGGAACAGAGCTGATAGAGATGTTTTGGTTTGGCCAAGGACTTTGTGAGCCTCATGCTCTGCCAGGGAGGAGGGGAAGCTGGGAGGAAGCAGAGACAGGACACCTGACCCAAACTGACCAAAGAGGTATTCCATACCACAGCACGTCATGCCCAGGAGGTAACTGGGAGCTAGCCGGAAGGGCTGGGAGACTGCAGGGTTGGAGGAGGTATCGGTCGGTGCTTGGTCGGGCTGAGGGGGGGCAAGTTATGTCGGGTGGTGCTGAGGTGTTGTATTCTCTTCCCTTGTTATTTCCTTTATCATTGTTATTATTGGTGGTAGCAGTAGTGATTTGTGTTATACCTTAGTTACTAAACTGTTCTTATCTCAACCCGTGGGAGTTGCATTCTTTTCGATTCTCCTCTCCGTCCCTCCGAGAGCAGGGGGAGGGCAAGAAAGGGGGGGAAGTGAGCGAACGAATTACCTGACTGGGTTTAAACCAGGACAAGCACAGAGAAAGTACCAGAGTTAAAAATGGGATCTTGAACAATGTTCTTAGATTTTTGTCGTCCAGTAATCTACCAGTAGTGCCCATTAGCATGTATCCCATGAATAACCATTAAGACACCAGTGTAGGATGAGAGAAAAGAGCCTGGTTGGACATGTTTGCCTTCCAGATTTCTCTAAGAAAATTTGTCTCCTTTAAGGCAGTTTGTCTTGAATGCTCTCTCACAATTATTTCCCTAGTTCCTATTTCCTTGTAGTATTTGGTAGTATTTATAAAGCTCGAGCTCCCAGGCTAATACAGCTTTGCAAGAGCCAACTAAAGTGCATTTTTCTGCTTCTCATTACTCCAGAGAGAATTTGAAAACATGAACACAAAAAAAAACCCACAAACAAACAAACAAAATCAAACAGAAAAAAGACCTAAAAAAAGGCAAAGCAAAATAAAAGAATGAATACCAAAACCCTGAGACCTTTAAAAGCTTGCTCATATGTGGAGAAGGAGAAGAATTTTTTTATCACTTGGAGTTACTGCATTTCTTTGAAAGCGTTGTGGTTTAAGCACAGCCAGTAACTCAGAACCAGGCAGTCACTCGCTCATTGCCCCAGCTTGTTCCCTCCTGCTCCTGGAGGGATGGGGAAGAGAATCAAAAGAATGTATCTCCCACTGGTTGAGATAAGAACAGTCCAGTAACTAAGGTATAATGCAAAACCACTACTGCTACCACCAATAATAATAATGGTAAGGGAAATAACAAGGGGAAAGAATGCAATTGCTCACCACCTGCTGATCAATACCCAGCCTGACTTGAGCAGCAATCTGGGCCTCCCACATAACTCTCCCCAGTTTCGATACTGGGGCATGAAGCGCTGTAGGGTGGAACCTTTGGCTAGTTTGGGTCAGGTGTCCTGTTTCTGCTTCCTTCTGGCTTCCCATGCCCCTCCTCCCTGGACTGAAAAGTCTGTGATTGGAGTAAACATTACTTAGCAACAACTAAAAACATCTGTGTGTTATCAGCATTGCTCTCAGACTAAAGCAAAAACCACAGCACTGCACCAGCTACTAAGGAGAAAAAAATCACTGCTACTGCTGAACCCAGAACAGAAAGGAACAGCCATGTTTTTCAGCAGATTGTATCACAACTGTTTATAGGACCAGTGAGATCCGTACTTCTTTTACAACACTGAATAAAAGGAAGAAAAGATAGGCAGTGGCAAATTAAAGAAAACAAAAGGAAAGCAAAAGCAGAATCAGGTCCTAAGAAAGCTGTAATACTGCAGTATACTGTGTAATAGAGCATGAATGTTAGTTGGCTTATTAACAAAAATATAAAGCAGAATGAAAAATAAGTATGAATTGTTGAAGGAAACATTTGCTTCTGTCTCAGCTGATCTTTCCAGAAGCATACCGGCTCTGAACAGGTGATGGTCGAGGAAAATGATGCCATTGAGTAGAACTATTCCTAAAAGTTCTGTTGTTTTTAAGAGGTTGGGATTATTTTTTTTTTTTGTTTTAATTTAGATCCTTCAACAGACTAACATTTTTCTTTCTCTAAATAGAACAGCTCATAGGAAAAAATACTAATAGTCTGTTACACTTTTGCAAAAATCACTGTTGAACATTATTAAAATTTTATGCATTTTTTGTCTTTTCCTGTTTTCTTATTGAGTTTATTTCACAAAATGAGAATCAATGCTTCAAAAACATTTTGAGATTTTGTAATTAAAAACAATTGTTCTAGAAGTAATAATTTTTTAAAGAAAGAGGAGCTTGCCTCTTATGAAAAGAAAGGCCAACGTGAATAATACCGTGGAAAGGAAAGATTGATTGCTCCTATGCTTTCTTCCTTGAACTTAAATTACCCATCATTCCTTTTAAAAATGCACAGAAGATAACTTTTTTTTTTTTTTTTTGCTTAAGACACCCACTGAAGGTGCACATTAAACAAAAATGGGTCCATGCCTAGGAAGGATCCACAAATTCTGATTAATTAGCATACTTTGAGTGTCACCTGGTTTGTGGTTTCTCTGGGTTTATATTTGAAAGCTAAATCAGATGCTGCTTCCCAGCTGAAGTGTAACCTTATCATTGTAATTCCTTATGTGTTTTTAGATGATGACTTCTTATCATATTCTTTTTTGGATATGAAGACACTAAAGTTTAGTAATGTTTCAGTTTCACTCATGTCTGTGTCAACTGGCATTAACTTAAACTGTTAGGGTAGGAAAATGCAATATAAGTGAATTGAAAATGTCAGACTCAGAAAAGGATAGATCAGGGATGCTAGGTGAAGGAGTAGAAATGTTACAGAAAAGCTGCTTCTAAGAAGGAAGTGGACAAATGGCATATTTCTGTCTATGAATATAACCCCTATTTTTGATAATTTAGTATACTAGAGTAATACATGAAGGATGCTGCTCAGGATATGGTAAGCATATGTTCCTTATAGGGTATTTCTTTATGAAAGAATCAGACAGTCTGTGCCAGTGTTAAATAATTTTTGTGACCAGGTGAAACTGATTACTTGACTCAGGGGTCAGTCATAGGCGCTGCTAACCCAGAAGCTGTTATTTTATGTGACCTTCCTCTTGTCTGCTACTTCCTCAAATGTTGTCATTTGAGAAACCCTCCTTACAAATTCCGCTTTGCTCTTCTCTCTGTCTTGTCTTGCTGTCCCCTGCAAGATATTTTCTGGCAGGATCTGAGATATAGAGAGGGAGGCAATATTTGGGGTACATAAGGCTGACCTCCATGGAGGGCTTCAGAGACTGACAGAGAATCTAGTGAATCTTCCTAGGAAACTCAAGTGAGCATGAACTGTTGTGATATGTATGTCTGATTAAATATTTCCACGTGATTTACCTGCATTCAAGGTAGATAATCTGGGGTCTTCCAACGTTTGGAGTGGATGTAAGCAGGGCACTGGAATGTCCTGCCTTGATGACACAATTTTCCTTGGTTTGGGAGCTGTTAGACACTAAAGCTTTTATAGCAGGGAAACCTGGAGCTCTTTTAAGACTTGTCATGGTTTAAACCCAGTCAGCCACTCAGTTTCCATCCCCCCCCCCCCCCCTTTTTTTTTTCTGCCCCCTCCCCTTGCTCCTGGAGGGATGGGGAGGAGAATTGAAAGAATGTAACTCCCACGGGTTGAGATAAGAACAGTTTAGTAACTAAGATGTAACACAAACCACTGCTGCTACCACCAATAATAATAATGATAAAGGAAATAACAAGGGAAGAGAATACGATACCACTCGCCGAAACGAGCCCGACTGAGCAGAGTGTGCCCTGCCGGGTAACTCCCCGTTACCTCCCCGGGCAGGATGTGTAGCAATATGAAATACCTCTTTGGCTAGTTTGGGTCAGGTGCCCTGTCCCTGCTTCCTCCCGGCCTCCCCTCCTCCAGACCATGATACTCACAAAGTCCTTGGTCAGACTAAATATCAGTGTTATCAGCTCTATTCCCAGGCCAAAAGTCAAAACCACAGCACTGCACCAGCTACTAAGAAGGAGAAAAATGACTGCTACTGCTGAACCCAGGACAGTATCCACCCCTTATTCCATACCATTCATGTCATGCTCAGATCCCACATTTTCAGTATACCATCGCTCTTACATATATATATCCACATACACAAACACAGACAGAGAGAAAGAGATCATTTCTTAGTGCATGGACCAGTCGCTATAAAGCTGCTGAGTCCATTCGGTCCATGATGTCAGATTCCATCTCTTGCAACAGTCTTTCAGAGCAGGAGAGGCTCTGTGCAGTGTTCATACTCGTGAATCACCTGGGGCAATAGTGTCCGTTGCTAAGACCACCCCTTGATTATGAGTCCATCTCTATGTTGCATCTCTATCCTGAAGGCCTGAAGTGCCATGGGCCCACCAGGCCCAAAATTATTCACCCTTCCCTCCAGCAGTTTCTGCAGCTTGTTGCTGGGGACTCCATACAGCTGCCTTCCATCTCCGACGCTTCCAAAGCACTGGAGGCTGCAAGTGGACTAGATACTTGTACATACTGTCCTACACACCCTGCCACTCATGACTGTCCAGCTTTGGGGATAATCTCCTGGTCCTCCTACATCATCGTCTAACCCTAGACAAGACCCAAACCCAACTCTGCTTGACTTTTGAGATCAGACAAAATGGTTGTGGGTAGAACACAGTCTGTATGTGTGCCAATATGCTGATCCCCATCACAATCAGCAGGCAGGTCCCAAGGATACCCAAAGGCCATTCAAAACCTTCAGAACTCTCAGTTGATGCTGCTGTACTTGTCACTGGGGCTGGTGTAGCTGCTGTGCTTGCCGGCTCTCCCACCGCCAGCTTCTCTTTTCCTGAGTCCAGATCTTCTTCCTCTGCCTTGCTGGGAAATGCTGTGTGGCCTCCTGCATCCTCCTGGGGCTGGGGCTCCCGGGGCTCGGCGGGCGGCTGC